AAATATTTAATTAATTTAATTATATGTCAAATGTTTCAAAAAATATAAGCAAAATTTGACTTTCTAAAGAGGTTTTATAAAAATTAAATATTATTATGAGATGAGTATGATATGAAATCAATTAATTAAATTAATACTGCATTCATCTGGGGGTGGGCTCGCTCGTGTTCGGCTCGTTTATATTTTGGGCTCAAAAAGTGTGTTCGTGTTCGGCTCGGTTGGTTAACGGGGCGGACACGCGCTTCACGAACAAAGAGTCATTTTGACAACTCTAATCACGTAGCCGAAAGATGTTAAGGATTGGATCTAATTTAATAATTTTTATTTTATTTTCCTCATTAATACTTTTAATTGATTATAAATCTTTGTAGCCTTGTAGTCAATTAATTTTTTAAAAAATACTACTCATCAAAGATATATATATATATATAATTGATCAGTAATATATATATTTGTTCGTGTTGTTCGTTTTTGGCTCTTTAATTTACCGAATGAGCTGAACACGAGCTTCTTAACGAGCCGAACACGAGCTGTTCGCGAACAACGAGCCGTTTTGACAGCCCTACATTCATCATAAAATAATTTTAACTGCCATTAAATATATTCTGATTAAATTTAAGCCTGAATGTTCTCATCCAAACTCTGTTGAATTAAAATGCAATTTACAGAACAATTTATTTATATCTTAAACCTTAGAAAATGTCAAACAATTTTGAAAAAGTTCTGAATCGCCAAATTTTCTATTTAGAAATTACATGGTTTCTAATTGATGGGCGTTTTTCGAATTATTCAATTATTTATATGAAAATGGTCACCTAATTTTAAATACCAGAAAGCAGCAGTTTGACTTCTCAAAATAAAATAAGTTTTTTAATACCCACACTTGTGTGCTGGAAAATTCGTGGGAGTAGAGTAATGGATTATCGTCTTAACGTTGAACGAGGATTCAACACATACTCAAGTGAAAAAATTGACCAGTAATGAAAGCAGAAATTTTTACGTGGAAAAAGCCGTAAAAGAAAAAAAAATGTGGGGTCTAGTCCAGTTGTAAAAATTCACTATATGTTGATGATTACAG